ATACTTGGTATGCAACCAATCGACCTGTGCTTCAATCAGACTGACTATTCATCTTCTCATTCAGACTTCTCCATCCAGCTCCATAGATGATAGTTCGGCTTAAAACCAGTTCACGATTATTTGCTAGATAATTTACTATTCCAACAAATTAAAATAACCTTCTCGGCGTGTTCTTCACTTTAATGAACGAAAATCACGTTGGCTTGCATGTTTATATAGAAACATGCATATATAAAATAAATATAAAATCATAAATCCAGTCGGTTAATTTTACAATAATAAGTTTGTTTAATTATCTTAAAACAAGATATCGCATGCTTGAAATTTGTGGAAAGTACATGTAGTGGCCGTTCAGTGACGTTTACACCAGTCTCGTGTGCATGTTCACACGGTAAAACACGGGTCGCAACACGGTCTAGTGGGAAAATGGGTTGGAGCACTAAATGCATACCAGCAAATCGGTGAACATCAGCAGCTGCAATCGCAACTGTTGACGAGACAACATACTGTTGGGCAGAGGCGCCTGAAGGATTTGTTTTGTAAGACCCTGTAAACAGAGCAGGCTAAGCATGAACGTCCTTGTCGAATCTCAAGGATGGGCCTCGACTGAGACTAAAAGGGGCTTCAGCTAATTGCTTTAGCTAAGCCGCACAAAGCGTCAAAAGCAGCAGGGCTCACGTTAAGAACATCGTCGAGGCCCAAGGAGGGAGCAGAGCCCAACAACCTGGACAACCGCTGCAAAAACCCACTGGCGGGCACATCGTAGCTACACAGCGTTCCTCGCCAAAGGTTCCTCGCCCTTAAAGCTAAGTTCAAGGAGAAGGGCAGAGCTTCTAAAGGAAGCCATGATGCAATGGAATTTTCCTGTTAAGGCTTTCAATGCACTCTCTAAAGGGCATTAGTCTCTCGACCCCACAATGCCATCATGAGAAGACGATCTTTTGTGCTATGAGATCTCTGTAACTTATAGGCTTCATTTCATGTAAACAACCGATTGTTCTTTCACAGGACAATTTATTTGTTCCGCACGTTTCAGCTGGTGCTAAAAAACTAACTTATTTCGTTTATATGTGGCCTTCATCTATCGTTTGAACAGCAGACAGGCTCTCGGTTTCGTGAAGCCATCCATAAAGGAGATACTTTAGGAGACCCGTTTTTGGGTCTCTACATTTTGTTATAAGTTGCCATTTTCTGTTTCCGAAAAGTACAATAATCAGGTCTTATTCACATTTTCTGGCGCTAAATATTATTGTAAAGAAGTCCTTCTTTAAATCCACCAACCACATGCAGGAATCGTTTCCTTTTCCTGCCTGGCAAGCAAGGATGTGCCTGTAATCAAGCGGTTAGCAATAACATTTATCCTAGCTTTGTGCCTAATATAATCCCTAGTAAACACACACGGACGATTCGTAACAACGGCACAAATAACTCTCATATTTAAATCGACTGAGCTTTTGAGGGGATTAGGTCGAACTACCTTGGCATTAAGGTCTATAGTTCATCGCGGTCCGCTTCTTGTAGTTGTCCAAAATGTAAGTTGTGATTTAAATAGAGATCTTCGGACCCAAAGCTCTATAACTATTTTGATAAACATAATTGGATACTTCCCTTAGTTCCTTTATTCTATATTTTGATACCGGAGAAACCCGTGTAAGCTACACAGCTTTTTCGATTACAGAGCTTCATCTGTAGCAAGCGAGCTCAGGCTAAACGTTTACAATACTTATCGCAGTAATGACTTAAATTATCGGAAATTTATAGTCGACCCATCTTATAAATTCTAACTTTGCCAACTTTATAAATAGTAAAACTGATTACTAGACGACTTTACTCTATCCGAGAATGCCTGCCCAACAAGTCAGTCCTTAGACGAAAAAAAACTCGACGCTTTGATCGACAAGTGCAGTAGTCCAAAAAGTCCTTGAGCAATTATTTCGAAATCGATTCTATTTTTAGGCTTTAATAACATGAAGATAATATGCGGGAATCATTAGGAATAAAGCAGCTGCTGATGTCCTGCGCTTCCAGTGTTAATTGCTTCGTGTTTAAGAATAGCGCCTAATTTTTGCCAAGATATTTTACAAAAAGCACTCATTACGGTATCCAGTTGATGCATCGTAATGTGTCCTTAGCGGAAATATACACTGCACATTGTTCTATGAAGATGCTGTTAGTTTAGTAAAAAAAAAAAAAAAGATAAATAGCCAAGCAAAGGATAACACTAGCGATATGAATAGGAACGCTCGACGTTTCATAGCGGCGTCACTGAACTGCAAGTTTAATTATTGTGGAGAAGACGGTCCTTAACCCCCTGGGTAATTACTTACTTAATATTAGGTGGCTTCCACGGGGTCAAGTATAAGAACGAATCACGATCTTATCGATATTTATCGTTTAGCTAGAGAAAAAAAAAAAACGCAAATCTGCAACCCTAACTGCCCGTATGTACACGTTTGTATATGCATATATTCTCGTAGTGAAATAGCCCTGTTGTCCATTGAAAATTATCTCTGAGCTAAGAAAATCCACAACGCTCACTTGGCACCCAATCGTAACAGCCATAAAACAGCTCAATCCTATGATGGAAGTTAAACACAACAGCTTGTTAATTACCATATCACGTAAAATTAAGTGAATCACGTTTCTAATTGGAAAACACTTAAAAGTTATTAAATTTAGCTACGACAGATACGTAATTGGCTAAGAACAAATTATGCGTCAACTTAACAACGGCGAATTCCTGCCATTATACATCTCAGATCGACTTCAATCCAAAATACGACTACCAAATGAGGTTTGGCTGTAAATTAAAGCCATCCGTTAGGCAACGATCCGAAAGAATAACTAAACGTTATCACTGAGTACAGCTACCTAACCATCAGCATTATCATCACGCACTTCTACCAGAGATTATCATTTGTACCTCAGAAGAGCGAAATTATATGTGCTCAAAGTATACTATGATCGTATATTTCTCAACTATATATATATATATATAAATTACCTTATTCCCTTCTTCATTTCTAATTCGATTTCCTTCAGCAACTTTCAGAATCATCGCTTGGCAACTTGCGATTGCTTTTGTGACCAATCACCTGTGACGGCGAGCCTGAGCCAAAAGCAGGCGCCAGACGAGAATTACTGAACTTGTGAAAGCCTCCTACTTAATGTAAAAAAAAAAGCCTGTTTTTGAAGCCCCTTAGAGAGGATGTAGGTTGATATAACACGATCTGTGTTGGTGCAGCTGCGTTGAAAGGACAGCTGCCTGTATCACGCAATAAAGCTATTTCGGGTGCATAAAGTAATTCGAGCAAAACAAACGATACGTTACTAACCGGCCGTAAGAACGCTTTTTTTTGCATGTTAATTATTTCAGGTAGAAGAACACAGCTATATTGGAGAAAGATTATGACTGGCTTTTGTCAAAACTTACAATCTTTTCGTACAGAGAATAAGCCTTATAGTTTCTATTTGACAGCTCTAGGCCCAGATATAGCAATTGATAACTAACGAAATAGAAGGTTTGTTAAAGAAACATATATTAGTATAATAAGAAGCATAGTCAAATTATTCTAGACCTGTGGCTGGGCTTCGCCAAATATGTATTGACAAAAATCTATCAAACAGCAACCCGTACATGACATATTGTACATAGAAATGCGTTAGATATTAAAATCGAAGACGTCAAATTCCCCATCAAATTGTTTCCATGATCTGGCGGAACGCATTTGCAAAAATTGAGCGATCTGTGCGCTTTTATTAAAGCTTTTCTACGAAACCAAGAAACGTTCATAAGCTTAAACCTGTAGCTTCTCGTCCTTTTTTTTTATAGCTGATTCTTAGCTCTTTTTTGACGATAAGCTTCATCATGTTGTTTCAGCATTACTCCAAGGAAAAGGGGCTTAATATCATCAATCTAAAGGAACAAAATAGAAAAAGGAACGATGTTAATACTTATCATCCTTCCTATTGTTCGGAAATTTGTTAGAAAATCAGGGTGTAGTAATCGACGCCCAGATTCGATCCTGGACCATTTTTGCATCTCGGTTAGTAGGTAAACACATCACCGTTGCACTGCTGTGGAAACAAAGGATATATCGTGGATAACGTTTTGTCCCGAACTTGAATGTGCGGTATTACTCATACTTACGAACTTCAGAAAGAACAGAATATGTAAGATTTGGCAATTAAAAACATTTTGTTTGCGTGAATCATATGATGGAAGATCACAGTGTCAGTTTGCAGGAGGAAAAGAAGACTTACCGATTCGCCAACTTATTCATGACATTTCCAAGACAAATCACGCATTATTTATGTGCGATGTTAGCATAGGATTCTTTGTTTAAACCTTACGAAGCTGACTATATATAGAGCTTATGGATATCAGCCAGGAGAACTTATGTGCATTAGTCCAAACGCGAACACACGCACCATGTTTCTCTAAAGAAGCAAAAAAAATAACGCCAGAACGCACCGATAGTGCACTGGCGAGACTATATATATATGTATATATGTTTCATAGACCGACAGACGAGCTTCGCCCCACGCCTGTTTTGCCATTGATTTATCTGATTTGTTGATGTTACACCCGATTTAATTTAAACTATAATAAATACGCATCAACACCTAGCCCATTGCAATTACTCTGGTCCGTTTAACCCACTACCCCTCTGTGATTAACGTAGAAGCTTAATATAATATACTTGCCAGGCTTTTTTTTTATCTTTTTTAATTTTCTTCCATTAATAAAGAGTGACATGTAATTACATTAAACGGAAACACAAATATTCGTTAAGTGTACTTCGGCATCTTGATTCTGTTTCTGGTACATTACCAAAACCTATAACAAATATGTACATCTCTTCCTTGACGTTATTTTCTGCAAATAAATTGGGTATTTTTATCATGGTAATCAACTCTATTTATCACTTTAATTGGCCAGTTAATAGAAAATTACAAAAAAACACCCGAAAGGCAATTTTCAGTTGCACACATGCATCGAAACGACCGATAGGATTTATTCAACTGTTTTTTTAAAATATCAATTTTACGCAAAGGTCTGTCGAGATAGATTAATTGGTGTCCGAAAAATTTCTTTCACATAAAACGTCATATCCAGTTTTCGTCTTTCAAGCGACAGTTTCGATCCGAAAACTTAGATTTCGGTATATGTACATGTATTGGATATCGATACGGCTCATCGAAAACTTTCGACTGCTGTCAGGATCGATTGTGTTCGACTGGTCGCTCTGGCCATCTTTTTAACCCTAGAAAAAGATTTCATCCTAGAGTAATCACATAGGCAAGAACATTACGATAACTAATTTTTTTTTTCTTTTTGCCGCCGAAATATCCGAAATTTTTAGGTATAGGAACATATATTGAGTTTATACTCACATCATTAAGTTTTATTGACTGGCGTAAAGGATTGCCGTCAATAAAGAGGCACTTTATCTATATATTAGTATTTTGTTTAAAAAATCATTTATTCTTGAAAATGATTATTCAATGAAATTTTCGCAATTTTGATACCTACTACTTATGCTTACAGAAGCACGTCGACTTTTATTTTGCTGTCACAGGGGCGAGGCGAAACCGTTAATGAGATTCTAACCATTTTCACACCAAGATATTCACTCCAAATATAGGGACGTATATTGCATTTATATGTAGTTAGTCGAGATTTATCGATTGTGATCCAAAAAAGCCCTTACGCATCTTCAATTTGACGTGTATTCTACCCTGATCCAGTTCGGCACGACTCCTCCACTTAAAGTTCCATAAAGGCATTCCGCAGCAGTTTCTCAGTAAAAGTAAACCCCAGCTGCACCTCCTGAACTTTCGCATGAAGAAAAGTAAGTTCCTGTAAAAGTCGGAAAAAAACAAACAAACAAACAACTCTATGGAGTGAAGCACAAACTCTTCCGGAAAAAAGAGTTACATCTTACGCGCAATTCTTCTCGTTGCCATTCGCCAAAGGCCACCTCAATTGGACCACTTCAAGGGATCAATTTGGGATGATTCAAAATAGTTTTTTTAACATAGCTCGTCATGCTTCATTATGAAGGATCTTCCATTTTTGGTTTCACAGAATAAATAAATAAGAATGTGCTGCAAGAGATCAATTCCAGTGGTGCCAGTACAGATGATTCGTGCTCACAAAGGTTCTGTGCAGACTTTTATACAGCGTTCATGTAAACCGTCCGGTTTTGTAGAATAGGAGGAATCTCATGGTCGATATTAACTTACTAGCTCCTGTTTCCTCGCTGATTAGACAGACTAGTGTAGAAATAGTAACGGCACTTGTAGTTAAGATTGACATGCCCTCTTCGATCACGTGCTTACATTGGACATGATCTGTATTTGAAAAGAAAAAAACTAGGACGTTTGGTGGGAACATTTATTTTCTGTTGTTTAGAACTGGATAGTATGATTGCTTTGGGTCTGCGCTGAATGAAATGTCGAAACAGTTTCAAGGTATGCTAACATAAACATATTTATTACAAAAGGTCTATCGAAAAATTAGACTGCAAAGCTACCGGAGTATTTCAGTGGGGTAGCGGAATCATTGCGACACAATAACCGAATCGTTTTATACTATTCCTACGAATTAGCTTTCGGGGGGGGAATACTACGAATTAGCTTTAGCCATGTTGGCCTCTGTTCGATCTACGGTTCGGTTATCGGTTTAAGTTTCGATTTGCGTATGGCCCAAGAGGCATTAAGTTGCGTGTATCAAATCACCAAGCTAGGATAACGAAAGGGAGATCTAGGAGCCATGAAGTAAGCTTGACCCTATTAAAGTAATTGGCTAGTTGAAATAGTGTGATCCAATATCTGCAACAAGATACCTATTGCGGGCTGAAGAATTAAGGTGGAGGAGTGTCTACACAGTTGCAATACGATAGCTGTTAGTACGTAAGTTTGCACCGGAGCTACAACCCATGTTAGATAGAACACGAATCAAGTTCCATATTAGGACTATAATACAGTGGTGAAATAACCGCCAAAAGGTAACAGAATTCCTAACAACGGTAGAAGGAGCCACCGCAATGGGATAACTATTAGTATGTAGTCGCGCAAGAGGGGTCGCATATAAGGTGCGGCAAAAAAAACTTCACAAGCAATATCAAAAGAAGTAAATTTAGTTTTTTATGCGTCGTGGCCTTGAGCCATCATCGTGCACTTAAAAGAGATGTTGGCGTTTGACCTGACCAATGGACCTGATTGGCTTAACAGAGATATTACCGTAAATACTTGATATATATATATATATATATATATAATTCTTATTGTAGGCACGAGTCCGGGACAGAACTATACCTATAAATCTGCGCATACTCATGTCATCGCTATGATCGAATGCCAGCTTACCCAGCTTGACATTATTCAATTCCATCTCGACAATTAAATACTTGTCAATAGGCTTTAAGGTGGGGCAAGCACTCCGACGCTATAAGGCCGACTTCATACAGCGGACTAATCGTAGATTATTTCCTTTAGCATCCTTCAAACCGAACCAACTTTTAGCTGTCTGGCGTATTTTTCTAACGTACCACAATTCGTAATGACACAGACAGCTCAAAGATCAGTCTTCATCATACGGGTACGGTTCGTTATTTCCCACATGTGATGACTCCGATTAACCAGTACAGTAAAATACCTTGAGCCAAACCACTGTCGGATGAATTGTTTAGCCTGTTTATGATCACACAACTCTAACGGGAGAGAATCATGCGAGCAAACCAATTTTTTGCAGCATTTGGATTAAAAAGGTCAAAGAAGTACAGTTACGTCAGAGCCAGATACAGATCTCGAAACAATTTCAGAATCGCCGCCTTCATATACCTTACTATGCCTGGAGAGTGGTATCTGTCCGCCACGTATGGTCAATAAAGGAAAGCAAGTAATAGATACGTAACATACTAGAGTACTACCACTCTGATGAACGAAGGAACCGTATTATATGCTACCCCAAAATGTTTTTGCGACGCAGGTCTTCCCTATCGTTTTCCGGGTTCGTTTATCGGTTTCCAATCGAACCTATTCGACTCAGCTTTCTTGCTAGTCAAAACGATTACCAAGCGACTTTAATTTATCCGACAATGCTTGCACAATGGTCAGGCCGTAAAATCTCGACGCCGCTTTTGATCGACAAGTGCAACAGCCCAGTTTATCTTCAAGCAATTATTTCGAATTCAATTGATTACCTTTAAAAAAAACGATATTTATTTGATACGATCCTTACATTGAAGGCTATTTTGGAGTAGCGGAGACGACAGAATGAATCTCTGTATAAAGGCTGATATTAAATGAGCCCTATTCGACAGGCTTGTACTACAGTGAGAGCGTGGTGAGCTACCCCTTATAAAAACACGACACGAAGCGCTGTTCTACAGCCCCATAATATTCCGAAGAGGACGTGACAGTGGATTATATCACATATTTTTTCAACGTCTAACTACACTACCAAACATCGAAGACGAATATTTCTAAATATTTTAAGATAGGCTGCTCCTACTTGGCTGAGCTTACTTAAGATTAGGTCCATTTAGCAGAAAATATTGAGACCAAAGAAATGAACTTGAAGAACTTCACAAATATACAAAAACAAGGAAAAAAATGGCGCTCAGCTATTTTGTTCAGAAAGTGATAATAAGAAATTGGCCTCCAGTTAGCTGGATCTTTCTGTTCATTTGTTTCCGAAGACCGGCACGATGATCGCCTTGCTTGACAGTCCTAGTTAGATACTTCGAGTGATGCAGAGACAGGTTGATACACTGTTTTATGGGACTAATAAGATGCGTTACATTTCTTTCAACAAGGCTGCCGGAATTTTATACGAAGGCCGCCAGCATTTCCGCATCGGCCATCAGCGGAAAGGGAACTCTCAGGTTTCTTTGAGTAGTAAATATCTTCAGAAGGGCCAGAGGCTTTCGGCAGTAGTGTAAGGCTTTATCGACGAAGGAGATCTGAAAGTTGAGGCCACCCACAAAAACCAAAGCATCCACGACATCCGCGACCCGCTCACGATATATCACCAATTACTGTCGCCTGCAGAGTAGCGGTGTTAGTATAAGCACTGAGTATGCTTTAGCAAATGGCCGATGTGTTTTAACTGGTTGTGTCCAAAAAGTTAGCGCATTGTCCTGCTTATTAGAATCATACCCGCATCCCTAAAGGTATTTTTCGTTACCACAGCCTCAGTCTGTGACCTAGAAGGCAGCGACTGTTCGTAACTCATTTTAAAGGCACCCATCCAATATGGCAGCGTACTTCACAAACGCGTCCAACATGTATTCCCAATCTTCGTTAGGAGCGCTTGTAGCAAGAAAAGGAGATCAGTCCACAAAAAGATAGCTGCCACGAACTTGTCTACATTACCCTGTTTAAGGTTAAACACGTTAGCATAACAAACCAGGACGTGTCGCCTAATATGGATGTTTTCCAAGTAATGCCAGCCTCTATCGGTCGGTGCTTTATCTATCTTCTACGTCTTTGTATCAAGGGACCCAGGTGCGATTAATTAGTACGGCAAACGTCCCGCGTGTGAGCTGAGTGATGATCGGTTTTTTCCGAAAGAAATGCCTAATCAGGACGGCTTCTAGTTTTACGACCAGGCCGTTTACCGCTCGTACTCTGTAGGTTCATGTTAAGCTCTCTGAGCATAACCAATGGCTTCGATACGCATCAGCAGACATGAATACACATCTCATTAATCTTACGTACATTAGTACAGTACTACATATCGGGTATATAGTAATAGTATACATAACAACGCATGGCACAAATTAAAGATTTGTGTTAAATCATTAAGATTGATGCAGGCCAGAATCATTCGTCGTATAAACTCGAAATTTCAATTCACGTAATGTCACCACCACCATATGATCACAAAATTATTGAGCTACCCAAGTGCTACAGTGGGCCAAGTAACCCGACATATCAAGGAATTTAGGTGCACCCGGCCGCGTGGTACCGAATACAGGTCAATCTTACGCCGTACCAGATGACGTAAGTCAGGCGGCCTAGCTGTTAGCTAGAAAGTGTCACATTTTGCAATGAGGTTTCTGCAGCACCTTTCTAGATAACCGTTAGGCAAAGTCGAAATGACTCAGCGTCTCTGCTTGTGTGAGTCCTGTAGTCTGCAGCAAAAGAGGTCGTTCCGCCGCTTTTATTTTACGCCTATCGTTGCTCTGTTACCTTACATACAGATTCGAAGAGGGCCACCATTCACTAACGTAGTCAGAATGATATCTCTTAAGGCGGACTTCAAAACTTGAAGTAAACGAATGCAACGTACTGCGTAGTTGACCCGTAAGATTTGACTAATGCCCTATGCAGTTGTGGGTCTACTGGCGCTTCCTGGCAGCGCGGGCTAGTGAGGAGCAAAATGCTATCATAGGCACGCCACGAAGAACGCTGATGAGATTCGTAGTAACCGTTTGTGATACATAATGGGGCACTAGGCGAAAATTACTTTGGTCTATAATGATTTAGTGGTCAAATCATATGCAACCATCATTGTTTAGAAATAAAACTGATCTTCACGACATGTTTGCAAGGGGTATGATGACGGCCAATCACTTGCACGTTCGCGTTGAATCAAATGGAGGACGATGACAACGGTGGTATAATTGGTAAACGTAATGAATTAACAATCAATAGAGCATTCCAGGAAGAGGCACATCCAGAAACAAGTATATTGAACGTAGAAGAATAAGTTAAAAAGAACTTAACAGAGCGCTGCGGATAGGATAGACAAGTATTTAGTGGATAGTGGGTCGCTTACAAATAGGCGTAGGTCATCACCTAATTATTTCACCGATTTATAAAAATAAGGATTGAAGGTGACAGAAAAGATAACCAAGAGACTGCTGCAACAATGAAGTCCAAAAGCAGGTCAATGTCGTTATCTATACGGTATAAGCTACATTAATGTAGAAGTGACAAATCGCTCAGGCGATAACACTGAAGAGAATACTTACGTAATGGCTTATATAATACCTATTTGACTTTTATAAAATTTCAACGGAAGAACAATCGATGATTTGCTTCGGACGTTTAGCTTTGATCCAAGGCTAGACGTTGCAAGAACTAGTCCCGCTCTGACAGGCCCACGATACAATAGCTAACGATCATTGCACAATAGTAAATTTCTATTAAAAGTTAGATGATATGCTGCCAAGAACAGAACCAGTAATGTTTCTTGAGGTAACGACAGGATGTCTGGGTCCTAAAATCCATCAGAACTAATTTTTACTTTGTCGTAATGCTACGCTACGAAAAATGTTCTTAAAGCAATCTTTGTATGGCACATAAGGGAGTAACTATTTTCAGCAATTATAATGTAGCAAGTTTTTTTTTTATATAAAAATATATATTTTTCTTTATATAAAAATATAAAATTTTTTTATATAAAAAAAAGCAAACGAGTGTTTGCTTTCGGAACGCAAAATAAATTATTGTGATAATTATTAGGATAACGAGAAGCTACAACAATTATTATTAGACAAACCGGTCAGCGGTCAAACACTTCACGTACTATGAAAACTATTAACCTATTTCCTGTTTTCCAGTTTCCAATGAGGAGCAGTCGATATAGATAAATTCATACTAAGACCAGGGATCATTAGGACAACGTATTCAGAAAGTACATCTTAAGTATTTCAAGGACAAAAAAGGATACCAAATAAAATTTCCAACCCAAACACTACTGCAGTGCAAAGCTTGTTAGTTTAACGTCGTATACCGAAGCTAGCAAATAAATTAAATTCTATTGCTCAACTAGAATTAAACGTATATCGCTGATGTTCATTCGGTTTGTGTGTCATATAAATAATTTACAGATAATTGTCAGGACATAGTTTATGTGATTGAGACCAGTCTATTTTTTTTTTTTTGATAAAACGCCAAAAATTATGAATTAATATTGGAATAATTTGAGAACGGTTAAGGATCGTCAAAGGAGACATTTACTTCAATAGCGCAACATATCTCTTAGATATTTATTTGGATCTTTATTTCTTTTTCTATATCCTTGACATTGAATGTGCGTAATCTGCGGAAAATGTACAACGTACATAACGCTTAAAGATAGTTCACTATTTCTGTGTTGAAGATCACAGAAAACAGTGTAGAAGGTTCATCGTACCATTCTTTTGTATGGTCTTTTTTCTACTTGTAGCTTGTCATGTAAATAAGGTCCGTCTCTTCACCTAACAAAAGCACAGCGGCCCACTCAAATTCCGGCAACAAATGAATTTGATATGTTTTTGCCCCACTGTCCACGATCCTCTTTCATCATAAGCTCAATGTAGTTATCATTCTTTTTCGGCAGAAACATTTCGATCCGGTGTCCCTCTAGTTTTTTTAGATTCTCTTTATTGTCAAATGTACTGTAACGGATTTCTGTTGTCTGTGATCAGCAAAAGTAAAAATTCGTGGTTTAGAGGAAAAATTTTAGAGGATATGGTGGGCGCAAATTGCTTTAACGGCCTGAGGCCACCATGTGTGGCCTGGTATTATCGACCCGAATGTTCTGTTGTATAGTTTCGTTCAACTGATGTACTAGAAATATACTTAATATGCTCCAATAGAAACA